GGGAGGCAGCTATGGCAAGGGAGCTGCCCTGTGCTAGGAGCGGATGGACTGCGAGGAGCTGTGTCTGAGGAATGGCTGTGATTGGGTCAAGAGCTGTGGGTAAAAATCAAGGACCGGCCCAGCAAAGAGCACCCGGTGGTCGGAGTCTGCTGCAGCCCACCCGATCAGGAGGAAGCTGTTGACGAGCCCTTCTTGCTTCAGCTGCAAGAGGTGTCACGCTCGCAGGCTCTTGTCCTGATGGGGGATTTCAACTGCCTGGATACCTGCTAGGAGAGCAGCACAGCAGGGGGCAGACAGTAGAGGAGATTGCTGGGGTCTGCCAAAGCCGACCTGCTGGTCCAGTAACAGATGGACCGACCTGGTGTGAAGCCTTACTGGACTTGGTGCTCACCAGTGCAGAGGAGAGCGTTAGAGAGGTTAAGACTGGAGGCAGCCTGGGCTGTAATGAATGCCTTGATGGAGTTTGTGATCTTGAAGAATGCAGATCTGGCAAAAAGTGGACCAGGACTCTGAACTTCAGGAGAGCAAAGTTCTGGCTACATATTTTCCTCTCATGCTTTAGTGTCACCTCCCTTTGTGTCCACCACTGATCTGCAGTGGTAAGTAAGGCCTGAGTGCCCAAATGTTGGTCTGTGCGGTCCATGATGGTACTGCACGTGGCCTGCAGAGTGTTTTGCAACCTGCCTGTGGCCAGCCGGTGGGTCTCCCTGTTCCACTGTAGCTGTGGAACTGACAACCTGGATGTTTATCCCATCTCATTACCTGACCCAGCTCTGGTCTTTGATGGAAAAAGAGATCACAGATTTAATGGGAACTTCTCTTATCTGATTGTGATTCTAGATGACTACACTGGTCCTTTCTATCCAGTGTTCTGGTCAGACGCAGCTTTTGTTCCTGAGGTGGAACCTCAGGAACACTGCCAGGACAGAGCCTTTGGGGCTCCCCCTACCGTTCTATTTTCCTCCCCTCTTTGTCCCCTTTCAGTTCTCTTCCCCTCCCCGTCTCCAGACAGTTCCACACATGGATTGTTGTGTATCAGCACAGTGCCACTGCAGGCACCTGGCATGTATGGCTGAGATGCTGCTGTGTGGAAGGGAGAGAAGAGTGCTGTGGAGCGATCCCTCCTTGTTTCCATCTGGATGTGGATATGGACGTGTTTGATATGAGCTGCTCTGTCCTGTTTGTTTACAGATGTGAGTGGAGATGAATGGGATGCAGAATCCCAGCTGGCTCCCCGGATGGAAGCTCTAGCAGATGGTATGAGTATGTCATGGCTTTTTACTTCCTTTGTGAGCTGCCAGCTCACAGCCCTAATGTCAGCCAGGCACGCCTGCAGGAGTGAGAGCACAGAGCTGCACGTGCGTGCCCTGTCCCTGCACCATCCTCTGGTACCATCTGCTCCTCAGATGGCACTGTGCCGTTACGCGTGACACAGATGATGGAAAGCTTTCATGGTTCTTTGCTTGCAGAAGTGCCTCCAGAGAGAGCCATGCCAAACCTGCAGCTGCTTCCCATGCCGGAGCCCCGCTGGTATCCCAGGGGTGGGCAGGGTGGTCTGTCTGGATGGACTGCACCAAATAGAGTTCAGTAGCTGGTTCATCTGAAACGTGTCCTGGTACATCCTGTTCAGGTCCTGTGAGACAGAGAGGGAAGTTGGTAAGACAAAGATATTTGCAGAGGTCTTCTCACATTCTACAGACAGTCACGATGGAGAATGCAGTATCTGGTGGGCATATTTCTGTCTGTTCACCAGAGGGCTTGGAAACCAACATTCTACGTATGTGGAAAACATTGATGTCTTCTGAGAAGTAGTGCCCTCTGAAGATAACGTCTTCCTGGTAAGAGCAGATATTTACTGTCCCACTCTGCTACCTTCTTTCTAAAGAGATCGACGGAGAGCCTGTGGATGAGGCTGTGTTTCAGGAGGGCAGCAGCCGCACGCTGCTCTTCTCCCATGAGGACACAGAGGATGGTGCTGAATCTCCCCTGGTGCAACTTGAGGCCGTTCCCTCTCGTCCTCTCACTGTTAGTTGAGAGTAGAGACCAACCCCCAACTCACCACAGCCTCCCTCAGGAGTTAGAGCGCAGTGAGGTCTCCCCAGGACCCTTCTTGCAGCAAGGGACCCAGAGCTGAACACAGCACTGGAGCTGCAGCCTCACCAGAGGAACAATCACTTCCTGATCTGCTGGCAGCACCATTTCTGATGCAGGCCAGGATACCATTGGTCCTCTTGGCCACTGGGCACCCTGCTGGCTCGTGTTCAGCTGAGTATCAACCGACAACCCCAGGTCCGTTTCCTCTACACTGACTTCCAGCTGCTCTGCCCCACGCCCATAGCGGTGCCTGGGGTTGTTGTGGCCAAAGTGCATCTCCAGTTGACCAGGAGGGCTGACAGATGATGGAAAGCAGCTTGGCTTTTCACCTCCACCAGCTCCCCCAGTACTCTTGGATTAATCTCATCTGCCCCCATGGACTTGTGGCAGTCCAGGTGGAACACAGGACTCTGTTTCCTCCTGAATTGAGGGGGTTTATTCTGCTCCCCATCCCAGACTTCCAGGTCAGAGAGCAGAGCACCAAAGAAGAGCTTTTTTTTCACCCTTTGCACTTCACATCTGTTGCACACTGCCATCTTCCCTTCCCTGAAGCTGCTCCGCCCATAAATGTTGGCAGGGGTCTAAAGCCACAGCCACCAGTCCTGCATTAGGATTTTGTGAAAGGGGTGCAGCATTTGGCATTGGGGTGCAACTTTTTGTTAAAAGGGTTACATCTTTGGGCCTTGGCTTCAGGCTTTTGCTAAAGGGGTTCAGCCTCTTGTTCTTGGGGTTATGCTGTTTGGCACCATTTGACCTTGGGCTTCTGCTTTTAGTTTTCATTTCTCCTGTCTTCCATCTCTATGCCTCTCCAGAGCTCTCCAGCAGAGACACTTTTTTTTTGCTCCAGCCTTCATGGACAAACTCCACTGGGCAGAAGAGATCTGTGCAGACACACAGCAGACATCTGTGTGTGCAGAGGGACTCTGCTCATCCCATTTCTCTTCCCGTCTACGTCTCGTCCCACTCGGCGCATTTTGAAGGGCTGACTCTCTTTCCATCTCCTGAGTCGTGCCTCCCCTGGTCAGCAAAGGACCGCTACTGCAATGGAGTCATCCAAACTCAGAGGAATAATAGATGTCCATTTATTGAGAGCTTTCTTAACAGCCAGCAACAAGCTATTGGAGGTAACATTGGCCAGTGGGCTGATTGCAAGGAATAATGTTAGATGTAACAACTGTAGGCAATGGCTGTGACAAAGAGTCAAAGAATAACAGATGACAAAGAGAAAAGGCAGAAAATGGAGAAAGAGGGACAGACAGCAAAGCGCTCGTAGATCCAGCCGCGTCCTGGTGTCAGGTACGGATCTCTAGTGTGATGGGTCGTCATCGGACAACGACTGACAACGACTCACGACAACAGTAGAAACTCACTGAGAAGTCCAAAGCGGTGGCACTCAGCCGCCTGCCAGCACTGCCCCACAGCTGTGCCTGTGCGCCCCGGGGGGGCAGGAGCAGAGGAGAAGCCCCTTCCATGGGGACAGAGCCCTTTCCCCGCACCCCACCGCGCAGCCCCGAGCTGGGAGGGGCTACCGAGCACAGCGGTCAGATGGGCAGCAGCCCATCACAAACCACACGCAGGGTGCTGCTCGCAAAGTACGCCAGGGAAGCGTACATTGCCCGGGGCAGCACTTGAGGCAGGAGCCGATAGAAGAGCTCCTGGTCGAAGTGCTGGGCGTACAGCACTGCAGAGGCCAGCACAACAATGAGGAGCAGCTGGAGGCAGACCAGGATGAGGCAGATCATCCTGTGGGGCAAAAGAGAAAGGGGGCTGGGAATGAGGCACCCCCACCCCACGGCTGTCGATGGGTGGCTTGCTAGCCAAGGGGGCCATGGGCCCCTCGAACAGCTGTACGAGCAGGACAGGGCGGGAGGCTCTCAAGCTGTACAGATGGAAAAATACTAGCGTGCCACCTGCGAGGACACTGTATCCTTGAGCCCCAAAGTAAACGACCACGGAGGAACTTGGTTTGGAGATAAGGAAGTAACCGCGGGTGTGCCACAGAGATAGTTCCTAAGGCATGAAAACGTGTGTAGCCCATCACCTTTGTGAGTAAGGGGTAGTTACGGGGTTGTTAACTGATCAGCTTGTGGCAAGTTTACTAATATGGTTATGAATAGTCTCACTTTAACAATAAAGCGGGGTTTTCCTGATGCACTCATATCTTGTCATCACTCCCCGCGCGTCTGGACTAGCAAACTCACCAAATCTCAGGACCAGCCCTGGAAGCAGTGGCAAGTGGTGCCCGAACAGGGACCCGGGATTGAAATTAATGGGGACATTAACTGCTTGATCGCCCCACGGCAGCACAGCCCCACACAGTGCTGAAGGGGCCATCTGGGAGCCCTGCTGGTGGCAGTGGGGGTCCAGGCCATCAGCCCCCTGCCGGGAGCCCGGCTGCTGGCGGCTGGGCACGGGGCAATTAGGGGACACTCACTGCATCCAGAAGGCGAGCCCTCATCTCCTCACCTGCTCCTTCTTCTCCCGCAGGTGAACACGGGGCAGGTATGGTGGTCAGGCCCTGCTGCACAGCCAGGGCTCATGCGGGACAGTGGGAGCCTGGCAGCGCAGTGGCACAGCCCCCCGTCCCCAGGGAGACCCTTGTGGGTGGGATGAGGATGCGGTGGGCTCTGCCCCTTACCAGCTGTGCCTCCACCAGCTCCAGCAGCACAGCTCCAGGCACGTGGGCTGCCTCCAGCTCCATCTGATGCTGCTGCCCGTAGGACACAAGGCTTGGTTGGAGGGTGCCGGCCTCTGTCACCGCAGGGGCTCCCCAGCAGTGTGTGCCCACCTCAGGGGGCTGGGATGGGGCTGTTCCGTCACGCCACGTGCCAAATGGAAGCCGAGCCCAAAGCCCAGCAGCACTGCAGCCCCATTGTTGCCCTAGGTGCAGGCATGGGCTGCAGGGCCCAGTCCCACTCACCAGGCATTCTCCACCTCCAGCTCCTCTTGCAGGCGTTGTTTCTCCTGGCGCAGCACCTGGCAGACAAAAGTGTGAGTGCCCGTGCCTGCTGCAGCCCTCCTCCAGGTCCCCAGCCTGGGGGCGGGCAGCCCTGATCCCCTCACCCCTCCACACTACCTTGATCTCCTTGGTCTCAGTCTGCAGCTGCTTTTCCAGCTGGGCAATGAGCTGCTTCTACAGCAAGACAATGGCTGCACCATGTGGGATGGCTGTGCTGGGACCCATGGACCCGAGGGACCAGGACTGAGGTCCTCCTCACAGCCAGAGCTGTGAGGACACCGAGCTCTGAGGACGCGCCCCTGCTTCACCCTATCTGCTCCAGCTCCTATTTCCTGGCAGCCACTCTTTCACCCTGTGCTTGCTGGGATTCCTGCAGGAAAGGAGAAGAGGAGCGGCCATCAGGGCACCGGCGCTCCCATGGAGCTCCGTCCGACAGCAGCTCCGTGCCGCCGTCCCCTTCCGCCTCCTCCATCAGGGCAACTGGCGCCCACAGAGCTGCAGCTGCAGACCCACACGGGGGGACTTCTCCTGCCCCACATCCCACGGGCAGCACTGTTGTGCCTGCACACCCACACCAGCCCGTGCCGCTGCATCCACTCACCTTCATCAGCAATTTCCTGGCTGCAGCTCTGTGGTTCTCCATAACCTGCTCATGAGCCTGTGGGAGGAGAGAGGAGCAGCGCTGGCACCGAGGCCATGTCCACCGCACATGTCCATTCCATAAACTTATACTTATTCCATATCCTCATCCCATCCCATTACCATCCCAGTCCCATTCCGTATCCATATTTCATCCCCAATCCATCCCACATTCTTCCCATAGCCATCCCATATATATTCCATTTTTTGATCTCCCATTCCATATTCATCCCATATCCGTACCCCCACACCCCAATCCTATAGGGAGCATTGGGGGGGGTTTGGGAGGGGCTATGGGGGTCTATGTGGGGGTATAAGGTGGACTATGGAAGCACGTGGGGCTAAACGGTCCAGATACAGGCCCAAATACAGGGACTATAGGAGGCTAAAGTGGAGATGGGGGAATACTGGTGAGATACAGGGTTATAACATGGCTGTGAAGCGATACAGGGCGATATGGGGCTACAGGGATCTGGGGAGAGCTATGGGGAGGGATATAGGTGACTGGGGGAGGATATAAGAAAATATGCTGCCATAAATGTCCATAGGGGGCAAATAGGTGGGATAGACAGGGATACGGGGAGACAGGGAGCATTGGGAAAGCCGTAAGTGTCATGTGGAGAAACAGGCACAATGCAGGTCTGTGGAGGAGGGACATAGGGAGATACAAGGTTGTAAAAGGCTGTAGGGGAGTTATGGGGGGCTTGCATAGGCTGTAGTAAAATATAGGGCGTATGTTGTGTACAATCAGTAAGTGCACAGAGGTGCAAAATCAATTGGTGCACAGAGTTTTACGCTAAGTAAGATCATCACAACAGAAAGATAACAAGTGGAAAATGCTTACTGATGTCATAGGCTCGCAATATTCAACATGACAGTAATCTCCAGCAAGAGATCCTTCCCCAGGGGCAGTCAGCACTTCAGTGGGATCCTGGAGAGGCTCCACCCCTCCCAGCAGCACAGGTGAACTGCCTTCACGGCGTGAGCCAATGTCGAGTTGACTGCAGGGTGAGCTTTTCTATGGCAGAGATCCGATGCATCGTGATGCGTGCTGGTACGACTCAAGACGAGTGACGGCCAGCGAACGGTGATATTCTGTTATGGGCCAGAGCTCGACGGTGTCACTGGAGGCACGTGGCCGTGAGCTGCAGGTCCATCCTATGCTCCATCAGTGCCATGCAGACCATCCCCGGGTGCTGCATGAGATCTGACAGTAGCATTGATGGCATTGCATTCCTTCCAGTGATCCTGAAGGCTCAAAGACTCATGGGGAGAAATACAGATGTTTCGGGGTACCAGGAGGGGAAGGTCTGCTCTCCAGGGCGAGATACAGGCTGTATTTCTATCCTTGGTCAACACTTGGGCTGGAACTGGGCACGTCCTGGCCACCTGTACCACAGCTTCTGGACGGATGTCTGCGGTGCATAACAATATCAGGCACCAAAGGAGGTGTCCTGATCTGCCACAGGCACATGATGGGGGTCCCTTTAGCAATAAAGATCGGAGTGTTGACCACAACATCAGTAGGCCATGTACCTGTTACTGGAGGGACTGCTGAGCCTCCCACCTCCAACAATCTCCCCCAAGGTGCAAGTAGGCCACGCCACTGGGCTGATGACCAGAAACATGGTAGACACGTACAGTCCTGTGTTTGACTGCATTCAGTATGTCTAACCACATGTCCTTGTCCCAGATC